GGGGAGGAAGGGAGGAGGGGAGGACTGGGCAGGGCCATGCCTTTCCCGATCTTGAATGCAGCTTTCAGAGCAGCCTCCTCCACAGCGAGACGAACGTTGGGATCCGGGTTCCCGAGGAGGAGGAACCGGTTCTCCGAGGAGGTGTAGTACCCCTGCTCCATGCTCCCTCCTCCTGCAGAGTCAACCGTCCACTGGAGGAACTCCTTTGCCCTGTACTCCTTGGCGTCATCCCCCAGGATCCAGTTGTTGTGCACCATGATGCAGTCAGAGCAAGCTGAGCTCCACGCAAAGATGCGCCTTGCGAACTTGTTGAAGAACGCCTCCCCGCATGGCCAGGAGCTCTGCGGGAGGGGGAAGACACGAAAATGGCGCATGTGGAAGGATCGGAGAGCTCTGTTCACCGCCTCCTGCTGCCGCAGCGTCCTGCTCCTCCTCTGCATCCCCACCACGTGGACGGCGAACGCTGCTCCCTCCTCGGAGGGCCGGAGGTACATGAAGCCGCTGTTCCTTCCTCCCTCCATGTCGTCCTGGATCACCATGTCCGCCCGCTCCTCCTCCGCCAGCTGCGCTAGCTCGGGCATGGGGTTCCGGAACAGGTGGATGTCTGCGTCCATGAGCAGGCCCGTGAAACCCTCCTGCACTATCCCCAGCAGAACGTCTGTCTTCACCTGCACCACCTGAGCAAACCGAGCTGTCCCCCAGCTGATAGCTGCGCCCTTGGAGGTGCCGTAGTGGCGGGGGTACTGGACGCAGGGTACGGCGGGGTTGAGGACGCGCATGCCGCACATATCGTCGGTGAGAGCGACGAAGATGAAGTTGCGAATGCTGTCATGGAAGTTAGAAGAAAAGGAAGAGGAAAAGGAAGAGGAGGTGGAAGAAGAAGAAGAAGGTAAGGAGGATGAGGACAAGGATGAGGATGAGGATGAGGAGAACATGGGAGGAGGAAGAGGAGGAGGAGAAGCATGTAAGCATGAGGAAAAGAAGATGGAAGACGAATGCAGGAGGTAGTGGAGGCGGTGGTTTCGAGGGAGCAGGGAGAAGGAGCTGGAGACCCGTTGGGGCGGATGGAGCCAAAGTAGAATGAGTTCATCAGGTCAGCGTAGTTGAGGGTCCCACAGACGAAGGCGACAACGCCGTTAGCGTCCGAGTTCTTCGGCAGAGCTGTCAGCACGGAAGACAAAACCCTCTACTCTGCAACACGTATGCCCCTCCCCTCCCCTCTCCTCCCCCCTGTCCCAACTTCTCCTCGAAAGATTATACTCCTTTCTTGATTCCTTCCCTCCTTTCCTTCCCTACCGCCGTCCCCCCAACTCTCTCTCTCTCTCGTCCTCCCCCACGCTCGTCTCTTCCCCTCTCCTTCCTCCCCTCCCTCACATTCTTCAGCACTTCCTTCCACCCTGGCACGGAGGCGATAGTCGCTCTGATTACGTTCGCTGCTGTTCCCTTCGGTACCGTCGGCCTGTCGAGAAATGCAGATCTCAGCAGTTTGATCCCATTTTCCTGCTGCTGCTGCTGCTGCTGCTGCTGCTGCTGCTGCTTTCAATCCCCCCCCGGCCTCACCTGTCTCAAACTTTCCCCTCTCCGTCCCCCTCCCCCCATAAACTTCTCCCCTCCCTTCTTCTTCTCATCTGGCATGCTACTTCTTATCATGGTCGTTGCTATCTACTTCTTCATCCTACAAGCAGACGCTCACGTGTAGTTAGATGCCGTCCCTTGATTCATCGCGCGGTACTTGTCGAGCGGAATTCCCGATAATACCTTTCCTTGGTATCCGGAGGAGGAGGAGGAGGAGGAAGAGGAGGAGAACGGAGATGACATGTAGGAGGAGTGTCGAACTACGCTTGAGTAGTGGGAGCCCCTGTAAGCTCGAGTACGGGACAGCGAGTTCTTTGCTCCTGCGCTACCTGTCAGCTCGAAGCAAGAGGATTCGCATCAGGACCGTAGGCGCCTTCGTCTATCGCATGCGAAGGCAGCGGCGCCAATGGCTGAAGTACATGGTATACCTGAGGAGTCGCCTTAACACGCAAAAGAAGGGACCGGTATCGCTTGCTCACCGTGAACAGGAAGTAAGACAGAGTGATGAGGACTGGAGGCAACAGCTGAGACTCTTTCATCCCGTCACCCTCCTGGGTCTGCAGACCCTCCCCAGGAAGTGCTCGAGCAGCAGCGAAGTATGATTCCTCCTCCTGTCGAGAAGTCCGACTGGAGCACCCTAGTGCGTCATGAGGTTGACAGGAGACTGCTTGTCATCTCGACAGGAGAGAATGGCTGATGTATATTCAGTTGGGGTGGAGGCTCTGCATAGAGGTTGCTGCATACAGGTATGGCTTGATAACCCTTCCTACATTATGACGTCGGGAAACAGATGGAACAAGCTTCTATGTGTCATTTTGTTCTCCAGCCCAGTCAGCTTCAATCTCCTCTGCAGATCAATGAACAATGATTAGAAGCAAAGCGTTGCTCCATAAGAACATCAACTGTGGTCGTTTTTCTCGATCTCCTACTCCTTTTCAAGCAATGGTCTATTATAATCGCAAGCTGCACAGATTCATTCCTGGCTTCCAATGAATCATCTTAGCCCCAAGTCATACAAGTACATATGCAATCATCAGCCTGATCAACCCTCCTTTGCTTCCTGTTGTGGCTCATTTCATGACGTAAGGGGAATGATCTTACACCTGCTTCCTATTCTGAACTCAGGTCCTTCTATCTCATCAACATTCCCTCTTCTCTCAACTCTCCTGCAAGCTCTCTCCTCTCTGTCCTTCTCTTCCATGCCCCTTCCCCCCCCGCCAAACTCCCTCCATTCCTGCTTCCATCGACTAGCTGCGTGCCATGTATCCGGCACCTAAAAGTATTTTAGACACGAATAATTCAAGTACAAATATATATGTATATTGTTGTTTTGCGTACTGGCAGTACCAAATCCGTCCGATATAATCGACTCCTAAATTACTTGTAGGCACGGGCGGTACTCCCCAGGTGACCGACTTTTTTTTCTATATCAGTGAACCCTCGGCATTTAAAATTGACTCGGCTCCGAGTGTTGAGGCCCGTTTTCAACTTGGCTAAGGGCCCCGGGCTGTACACGGGCGCGCCCCGGCCCCGGGCCGGGGCCCGATCCGAGTCACTGTGAGAGTCTGCCGGGCGGCCGCGGCGCTTGCGTATTGGCAGCAAAAGAGTCCGGGCAGTGGGCGTGTTGTATAGTATGCTGTCCAACGGTCAATCAGTGACTTCAGTGATCCCTACAACTCGAGGCCCGGCGTTGCGGCGAGCCCGGGTCGGCCCGGCTCTCTGCTCCGGGCCCGGCCGACTGTCACGGCAATATTACTAGTAATAAGTAACGGAAATAACTGTCTTGACATCATCGGTGAAAATCCATCAACTGACGATGCGGCTGGTGAGAGGGGGAGGATTACGATGATTGTTGTTCCATGCTCTCTCCCATGCTCTCTTTCATGCTCTCTTCCATGCTCTCCTCTCTACGGCCACAGCTCCTCCTCCTCCTCGCCATCGGCTCTGCAAGATCACACCTCGTTGTGCTGTGGTCCGTGTGATGTAATAGACTCTGCCTCGTTGCAATGGTGCTCATTCTCAGGTTGATGTAATCCTTTGTGATGCGTTGCCCTGTTATGCAAAATGATTCTGTGCTCTCCAATCTCATACGTCGGGTTGAATGGGCAGGTTTGTTGAACGATGGCGGAACTAAGACAAAGAGCAAACAAGCGCAGAGGAGAAGGGGAATTTCCGCACAAAACGTAGTCGAATTAATGTCCGCTGAGGTGGTATCTACTCCGAGACCCATGTAAAACCACACCAGCAACGGCAAGGTAGGATGAGAGCGTCGGAATGGATAGTCATAGGACTCTTGCTCCTCTGTGGAGTCGGAGGGCAAAGGTTCCCCCGGAGGGAGGGGCAGCTGGTAAGGGAAACGATCTTAGCGGCCAGCGATTTCGGTGAAGGAGAGGACGGATGGTTGGTGTTAGGGGAGGATGTACACCTCCAGGTTGAGGGCGAGTACCTCACAGGGTCGGACGAGGGACAGGCTGTATGGTTCTTCTCTGCTCCTCCCAAGTTCCTGGGTGACATGCGGGAGGCATATCAAGGAAGCATCAAGTTCTCTATGGGCCACTTCCATGCGAACAGCGCGGGAAGGGACCCGATCAAGATGGAGGACGTCGTGCTGGTCTCTGACCTGCACAACCTCACGCTCATCAGGACGGACCTGTTCGCTCCCTGGTCCAACGACCAGGAGGTAGAGGTTGCGCTGGACCCGCCCAGTTGGAAACATGCGATCAGCGAGGGCTCATGCACAGAGGAGGAGCTGCTGCTGACGCTCTCCTCCCTCAGTGGGTTCCTGATTCGCGGAGGGCATTATTACGGGCCGGAGATGACTTGGTTGAAGGTGAGGGATTTGGAGGGGAAGGAAGAGGACAGTGGGGGGAGACTGAGTGACTGAAGACGGAGAAACTGAGGAGGAAGAGGAGGGAGGGACTTTTGTTGACGATATGCTCCCTTTGCCGCAGGATGTGAGAATATTGCAACAAGAAAGAAGACCCGAGGATAAACACAAAGGTCAAGACCAAAGGTATGCGTTGTTGAAGCCGCCAGAACAGGCAATGGAGCAGTATTGATCGGCATGTATAAGCAGGACATCTTCAGAGGACAAGGGCAGCGAGATTGATCCAGCATCCGATGATTCGACGATGATCGAGACGTTCATGGCGGAGGAAAGCAAATTGACGGTGGACTGCGTGAGACGTTGAGAGGAAGTGAAGTGAAAACGCAGGAGGTGCAGGAAGAATCTGCCAGCGTGCAGCAAACTCAGCGGGAGGAGATTGAGAGAGAGAGGTCAGACTGGACGGGATGTTTTCCTGTGAGCGTTCGATCACAAACCGCTGAGAGTTTGTCAGGTCGAGGCGGCAAGCAAAGATCATCACCGACTTACAAGAAAGGTAAGGAGTGGGAGGTGCTGCCAAGGTGCTGATTTGCCTCAGGATGATCGAGATGCAGGAGGAGAACGATCGGCTGAAAACGATTGTTGCTGAGGTGATGGGAGTGTGGAGATGGGGGAGAGATGATGTCGGAGAGCTTGCGAGATGGTTGATCCTCCCGAGAAATCAGGGTTCTTGTTCCTCCCTCTCATACAACTCGCAGCTGGAGGAAGCAAATCTCCGTTACAATCAGGCTGCAAAGGAGAGGAGCAACAAGGAGCAGGAGGTGAGGGGCGGAGGAGAAGGTGCAGGTGACATTGATGTGCCGATCAGTGCCAACGGCATTTACGAGACAAGGAATCCCTTCTTGAAGACGTGAAGGAGAAGCTGGAGGTGAGATTCCGAGATACGTGTCCTTGTGTGTTTGACCGCTGATTCAAATTGTTCTCTTATGATGACTTGATTGAGCATTCCTGGATGCCTTCTCGCTCGCTCACTCGCTCGCTCCTGTTGTCTGCAATCCGTTCTCCTCCTCATGCTCTCTCTCCTCTTCCTCCTCCTCTCTGCGACTTGACAGTTGGCGGTGACAGGGATGCGAGAAGCTGAGGATAGACGCCCTGATCCGAGAGGAGCAGAAAGATGACAGCAGGAGCACGATACACGTGATCTCTTTGCTCGAATGATCGTCTTCCCTTCACTCCTCTGCCCAGCAAATCAACGAGATGATTCAACTGACCGACGAGAAGCTGAACCGCTGCAACAAGACTGTCGATCGTCTGCAGAGCTCCATCAAGGAGGAGGTGGGAGGGGAGGAGAGGGGAGGAGAGGAGAGGAGAGGAGAGGACAGGACAGGACAGGACAGGACAGGACAGGAGAGGACAGGACAGGACAGGAGAGGACAGGAGAGGAGAGGAGAGGAGAGGAGAGGAGGGAGATGTAGCCTGAGGGAAGGAGTAGCGGAAAGTGGAAAGACGTGCGATCAAGACAGGGTGCCCGGGCAAAAATTTTGAGCATGAAGGAGATGAAGGAGAAAGAAAGGGAGGAGCAGGTCAATCTCTCTGAGTCTTCTGACGCAGAGAAAGAGGAGGGAGGAGGCCGAGGGTCGATGGAAACAAGTGCAAGAGGAGCACAGAAATCTCTCAGCTGCCCTCCTGACTTGCCAGCTGAACGCCAGCAGCATGCTCGCTGCGAGGGAGGACGTGGAGCGTTTGCTGGCGCGTCCCATGGAAACCCTCTCAAAGCATCTGGAGGAGGCGGAGGAGAAGCTGAGGAGGGAGGAGGAGAAGCTCGCAGGTGAATTGAGAAGGAAGAGACTGTGTGGCTCCCCTTCCTTCTTCCTTATGCTCTGCTGCCCCCCTTGCCCCCCTGCTCTGCTCTGCTCTGTTCTGCCCTGCTGCGCTCTTCTCTCCCCTTCTTTGCTCTGTTCTCAGCGTCCTCTTTGTTTCTTCCCCTCTCGCACTCCTCCCCCGTTCCTCTCCTCTCCTCTCCTCTCCTCTCCTCTCCTCTCTCCTTCTCTCCCCTCCTCCTTCGCCTGTTCTTGCTCTCTGGCATCAGCTCCGGCCTCACTTCCTCCCCGTAGCTCACTGCTCCACCAAGGAATCTCAGACGTTGGAAGTGACCATTCACCTCCTCCTTGTTCCCTACCTACTCCTCCTCTTGGCACTGCCCTTCTCCTCCTCCTCCTCCTGGTTTGGCGTCACAAAGTTTCTAGCGAGACTTGGCGACGTTGTCATCCTGATGTTTTGGATTTGCATGCTTGCCTACCGCTCGTACAAAGAGGAGGTGAAGAGAAATGGAGGGAGAGAGGAGTGAAGGAGAAGAGGAGGGAGAAGAAGAGAGGAGGGGAGGGAGGAGTAGGAGCGAGAGGAAGAGGAGGGCGAGGGAGGATAGGGACCAGAGGTGGGAGTGTTAGGAGCAGGAAGGGAGAGGAGGAGGTTGTTTGATGTGTATGATATTCAACTCGCAGGTTGAGAAAATCTTGAGCTCGCAACATTTGCGGAAGCTGAACGTTGTCATTGAGAGGACCGGAAGTACCTGGGTGAGAAAAGAAAGGGAAGGGGTTCAGATTCAGGAGGAGGGACAGAGGAGGAAGGGCAGGAGGCTGGAGGAGAGGTAGCAGAGGGGAGCATCAGGAGCTTGCAGGAGGCAGGAGGCAGGAGGCAGGAGGCAGGAGGCAGGAGGGCCTGTTGATTCTGAATCAAGGCAGCAGGTTGGGGATCGTTTTCCCTCGCTTGTCCTCTTCCTCTATGGGACGGTCATCGTCTTGCACTTTCTCTCTTTCTTCAGGACGGGAGATTTCTTCTGCGCTGTCCGAGGGACTTTCCTCTGGTCCCCTGCCCGCTCCGCTCTCTTCCTCTCCAACTGATCGATTGAATTTCACCTTCCCTCCCCTTGCCCATCCTTCCCCTCGTCTCTCTTGCTCTCGTCATCCTGCCAAGTCCCCTCCTCTCCCTGCTTTTCTCTCCTCTCCTACCTTTTTTTCCCTATTCTTTGTCCTTCTCCGTTCGCACCTGCCTCGACCTCTCCCCTACCTCCCTCCTTCTCGATCAATGTCCTCTCCTTTCTACCTCGCTCTTCTCTCTCTTCCTCCTCCCCATCCTCTCTACATTCTCCTGTCTGCCTCCTCCTCCACCACCGCACTGAACTCTACCTCAGGGGAGCAGGCTTGAGCTACTTCAGCAAGAGCTCCGTCGGCATGCAGGAGGAGGAGGTGGGAACTTCTGTCTTCCTCTACGTTTCCGCCATCACCATCATCACCGCCTTGGAAGGGAGGCTCGTGGCTCCTCGGTGATTGGAGGGGTAGGCTGCGGCGCTATGCTGACTGAGTTGCAGCCAAGAGCCGCTGACAGGGAGGGGGAGGAAGAGGAAGGAGGAGGAGGCTGTGGAGGAGGATACGTTTGAGACTCTTTCCGAGAAGATTTCAGAGTCTGATTCGGACGATGAGCTTGATCTCGACGAGGTAGACCCTGCTGCTGCCCCCCCTGCTGCTGCTGCTGCTGCTGCTGCTGCTGCTGCTGCTGCTGCTGCTGCCTCTGCCCCTGCCCCTCCTGCTCCTGTCTGCTCCTATTCCGACTCCTGCCCAGCTCCTGCTCTTCTCTGCTCCTGCTTCATGACTTCTCATCCTTCACTTTCTCAAGATCCTCCGAATGTCGAAGAAGGTCGAATACCAAAAGACGTCAAGCTTGGTTGAGTTCCAACGAACATACTTTGACAAGGTCCTCTCCCCGTTCACTAGCTGGGAAGTCTGCTGAACCCTTGCTGCCTTCAGTATCCTCCCGACAAATACAAGCGATCGATCAAGGATGGAGACAAGCTGGTAAGAAAACCTCTCAAAACCCTCGTGTCCTTCACTGCTCTGTCCTGTGCTTCTTGCTTCTTTTTTGGTTTTACATCTTCCATCGCTGTCACTCCCCTCGTCCCTCTTCCTCTTCCTCTTCTCTCCTCTCCTCTCCTCTCCTCCCCCTCCCCCTTCATTCACCCGAACATTCGAGTCTTTGGACGAGGAAGAGCGGTCAAGGGGCTTGCAGGTGGTCGCGAGCAAGCAGTTCCTGCGTGACGTCTCCTCCCTCCTCCGTCTCAACGGCGAGACACCGCAGGGAAGCACAGCAGACGAGAAGTCGCTCGCTGCTCTCAAGGTCTCTGCTCCTATGATCCTGCCCCTGCCCCTGCTCCTGCTCCTGCTCCTGCTCCTGCTCCTGCTCCTGCTCCTGCTCCTGCTCCTGCTGCTGTTCCTCGCTTCCTCGGCACCCCCCTCCACTTTCCCCCGCTTTCCCCTCCTCTCTCCTCCTTGTACTCGTAGACCCTTTTCTCCTATCTTCTCCTTTTCCTCCTTCCTTTCGTCTTTTTCTTCCGCCTGCCAACTCTCTCTCTAACCCTTCTTCCTTTCATGTTCACATTTCCCCTCTCCCTCCTCTTCTTTCTCAGCAAGTCTTCATCCCCTTTATCTCCTCCTCCTCTCCTCCTCTTCTCCTCTTCTCCTCTCCTCCCCCTCCTCTCCATTCCCTCCTTTTCCTCTCCCTCCCCCTCCTCATTTCCTCACCGTCCTCTCACCATCTCTCTCAGTTCATCGCCAGCGCTTGCTCTCAGCTTGCTCAGCTGAGACCCGAGCTGGGCCCCGAGTCCTCTCTTTCCAAGAGGGTTATGAACATGGCGAATCAGAACCTCGGCATCTTCCTGTTCGAGGAGCTAGTCGAACGATTCTCCGCCCACTCCCACTCACAGGTGAATTCCTTTCTGCTCCTGCTCCTGCTCCTGCTCCTGCTCCTGCTCCTGCTCCTGTTTTCTTTGCGTCTTCCTGCTCCTCTTCCTCCTTTCCTGCTGCCGCTGGTGGCGGCGGGAGTGGTTGTTCTTCTATCCCCTCCCTCCCTATTAGTTCCGTCCTAGCATCCCCCACTCTCCTCCTCTCACGCCCTCCTTCCTCCAGGTCATGCAGGCTGGGCTCCACTACATCGACGTCCTCGCACCCGGCGACGGGGGGCTTGTCCTCCTGCTCGTGGGCTACTTCAAGCTCTGCGACCCAAGGGAGGAGGAGGGAAGACCCCTCCTGGTCAGGGGAAGTATCGTCATCGACGTAGAGGTGGAGGAGGTGGAGGTCAAAATCTCACAGCCGTTTCCTTCCACCAGAGACCCCATGTTGGTCGTCCAGCACATTGAGCGCAACCTTCACTCTCCATCTTCTCCCTCCTGACGACTCCGGTTTGTGTTTGAGGAATCTGTTATTATCAAGCCAAGAAATTTCTTTTTACACCTCCCATCCCTCCTCCCTTGTCCTATTGTCTTCCTTCTCTCTCCGCTCTTACATTCCCCTCTTCACCTCTCCCCGGCACCAATTTCATGGCTCCTTCACGCTTCTCCCTCCTCCTCCTCCTGTTCCTGGTACTGCTCTCCCTCCTCCTCCTGTTCCTGGTACTGCTCTCCCCTCTCCTTCTCCTTCTCCTTCTCCTCTCCCTTCATCCTTCCGACATCGTTCTCTTCAGGTGCTTCATCATGCAGTCCCTGCCAGTCCCAGGACCGCACACGTAGAAGAGCTTGGTTTTCTTGTGGTCCCCGGGGTACAGCACGGAGCATCTGCGGCAGAAGAAGTAACTCTTCTGTCCCTCCGGGCAAACTTTGCATCTGCCGCAGTGATGGCGGTTGCCAAACCCGGAGTTCCGGATCAGTTCAGGCTTGCAACCCCCGTCCTCCTGCTCCTGCTCTTGCTCCTGCTCCTCCCGCTTCCTCTTGCACGACTGCAGGATGCCCCTACAGTCGCTCTTCTCTGCGAAGCTGAAGGCAATGGCATTGAGGAACGTCTCCACCTCCACCCCAGCTGCATCCTTGTCGAAGTACTTGAAGCACAGGAAGGCGTTGGTGATCATCAGGTGGAGGAGCAGCTGGAAGACGTACACCTCGACGCTCCTGGGCTTCCACATGCTGCGAATCGTCTGCAGCAGGTCGGCATGCTTCAGCGAGAGCGCCTCCATGGCCGCACGATGCTCGGCCACCATCCGGCTCTGTGGCACGACCCTGTTTCTCCTGATGATCCCATACTTGGCATCGAACGCCTGCCTGCTCCTCGTGTACGCTTGAGCAGGCTTGAAGGCCGGGAAGGAGGACAGGAAGCATTCTGCCGAGGCCCTTTCGCCCCTCCTTGAGCGAAAGTTCCAGGCATGGCAGTAGAGCGGCCGAGAGAAGTCCTCCTTGAGCTTGAACGTCCTGGTGGCCCCGACCTCGCTTTCCTTCCCGAACGCGCCGCTGCTCAAGTCTCTGACAGGCAAGAAAGTCTCGTCGCTTCTCAGCGCCCCGCAGAAATGGTTGCCCGAGCTGACGACGGCCTCGCATGCTTCCATGCTAGTCAGCGCTTGATCCGCATACACGACGCTGCTGTGAAGCCCTTGCAGCAGCTTCATCACCCCCGCTGCCTCCCCCTCCTCCCTCATCTCCACAGCCACCCGCACGACCACCTTGGAAGCGCAATCCACCATCGCCCTCACGACGAACTTTGTCCCGCAGAAATCCGACAGAGGAGGAAGGAGAGGAATCTCTCCACACGCCACCGTCGAGCCGGGCAGCATGAGCTTCCCCATGCTCTGGTTAAACAGCCCCACCACAGGCCCCAGCTTTCTCACACAGTCCTGCATGCTGCGCGGCTCCTCCGTAGGATCCCACAAGCGCATGTGGTGGGCGATGAAGAGCCAGCGAGCATGCGTCATCTTGAATGTCCTCCCAAAGTCGCATGCGCGCACTACCCCGACGTCCCTGGACAGCCAGTAGGAGGCAAGTTCGGACCGAGGCTGTATCAGCATACCGAGCAGTATGGCGAAGAACTTCCTCAGCTCCTTGAGATCCACCTGCTTCTTCCCCCCGTCGATCTCTCGATTGGTCCAGAGGAGGATGGTCTGCAGAAGCTCTCCCGGTAGCATGCAGGAGATATACTCCGCTAGCTCCCCCTCCTCCGTTACGTTCACCTCCTGCGACAGCAGCCTCGGCCTGCTCTCCTCCACGGGCACTCTGGCGTCTTCGAGCTCCTCCTTCTTCTCCAGCAGCCAGCGCCTCCCTTTCTCATCCACCATGTCAATCATGGACCCTGAGCCGCCATCTCCGGTTCGACCTGCCGCCTCTGTGTAGTCCTCGTCCTCCGTCACCATGTCAGAGTCTGTCTCGACTATGATCTCATCCTCGGCGGCTCCTCCTGCCCCCCTGCTGCTCCTGACCGCGCTCCTCACCTCGCTGCTGCCATGGCCCTCGTCTTCCAGGGACGCGAAGACCGGCGAGTCTACCCCGACCTCAACCTCCACCGCCTCCCCGCACACTGTCCACCTCACCCTCACCCTCTTCCCCGTCCCCTTCCCAAGGATCTCACCCGAGACCCTTGCGTCTCTCCAGCTCCTCCCCAGCAGCTCCTCCATCTTCTCGTCTGCTCCTGCCATCCCCGCCGTCGCCTCGAACCGCCGCCCCACTCTCAGCCGAGCCATTAGAACCGTCGGTAGGTGACCTCATACCCGCTCATACCAATCTCATTTCTGCCCCCGGCCCGGCCTGTGACGCCGCCGGGGTTCAACAAGCCTTGCAAGTTGCAAGTTGAGTCTGAGTGAACTCGGAAGCGGTCACCGGGCCGGGGGGCCTCCGGGCCTGGCCCGGCGGCCCGGACCGCAGCTCGCACGGCAGTGAGCCCGGCCTGCGTCCGAAGCGCCGAAGCCGCCCGGCCGGGGGACCTGGCGAGCCTTCACCGTGACTGATCTCTCAGTGAGTCCAGCAGTACTTCACTGTTTGAATTGAATGTTTTGACGTTAGAACAAGACGAAAACTTGACAAGTAAATTCAGTCAGAATTCCGATCAGCCAACGGTATCAGCCGCGCGGCAATCACATACCAGTACTGCTCCTGAGCATCTCAGAAACCGTCGGAGTTTGTCACAGAGCGGTGTGAAACAGCTGAGCTGCTTCATTGCTTTCGCTATCATGCAGCAGCTGGCTAGAATTGCCAGTCAGCTCGTACACGATGTAGCATCAGCATTGATATTTCATCAATTTGAGACGAATGAAAGCAACAGCCAACTCACACGTTCTTGTGCTGCCCGTGTATTGTTGCCATGTTTTCTGTACAGCCAATTCAATGTTTGGTCTAAGAGTACTCTCAGGCAATGATTGCGTATCAATCGATTTATTAAACAAATGTGTATATAATCGGAAATTCCCTCACTCACGTACTGTCACACAACAAACAAACTCCCCTACTTCTTTCATCCTTTCCTCTCCTCCTCTCCTTTAGTACCCCACGATCCTCCCCTCCGTCCTCTCCCGCCCCTCTTGCCCCTCCTCCCTCTCAGCCTTGTCCCGAGCCCTCCACACTGCCTCCGCGATGTTGCGCAGCACCATGGCCCCGTCTTCGCTGGTCGCTAGGCTCTCGGCTTGGCGGCTTGGCGGTCTTGGGGGAGCCTGCGAGGCGATCCGGTCGACGTAGGCTTGCTGGGCGGGGGAGAGTCGGAAGGCCTTGGGTCTACGGGTAGCAGGGGGGAGGGACCACTGCTCGTGGAGGATGAGGAAGGAAGCGGGGCAGGGGGTCATGTCGATCAAGCAGAAGGAACCAGCAACGGTGGAGAAGGGAGTCACTGAAGGAGAGACTGGCTGTGACGATGAGTGACGGCTAACACGGAGGAGATGGAGCGAGGAGGCTGTGTGCAAGGCAGGAGGGAGGGGAGAGGAGCGGGGGTTTATAAAAGCGAGAAAGAGGCGGAAGGAATCGAGCGATTCTAGCCAGCTCCGGTCCCGAAGGAGCCTTTCATGTTTACATTCCAGTTTACCACATGCAGGGATGTGTAGTAAAATCAGATTCCGTACCTCGAGATTTGGTCTGTGAATCCTAGCGGCTGCGGCAGTGCGTCGCCGGGTTACGCCGGCGGCGCCGGGCATACAGGCTTGACTCGCCGCCGGCAGGCCCGCCCGGCCGGCGAGTTCCGAGACCCGGGCCCGGGGGGATCCTGGAACTTGGGCCGTACTGGGTCACTGACTAGATGCCCAGATAGTACCGTACCGACTCTTTGGCTGAGTGCGACACCTGCCGCTGAAGGGGCACCGGCTGAGCCAACGAAACAGTGCGAAGTAAAGGGACGGTCGGAGGAAAGTCCCTGTAAGCCTTGACGCTCCGAGGCTCAGTGACAGTCCGTCACTGGGAAGCAGTACCCTAGCGTTAGACTGGAGTATGAGGGGTACTAGAAAGTGGGGGGTGGGGTCCGTTCTTTGATCACTCACGAGTCACGCAATTTCCGTGGACGACTCGGTGAACGGTACCGAATGTGAAGCTCGGAGAATAATGAAATTCGTTCATGATACTTGAAATGTAAAGGAAGCATTTTAAAATATAGCTAGAGTTGATGTCATGATCCTGATCATGAACTCCGTGATCCCCCCATATCGCTCGTTCACTCTCTGCCTGCCTGCCTGCCTGCCCTTCTTTCTTCCCTTCTTCTCTCCCTCCCCTGCTTCTGCCCTCCCTCCCCTGTTCCCACCTCCCTCAATCTCTCCAAATTCAGTCTGACAAGTTCCCTCCAAGCACGTGCTCGTCCTCCTCGTTTTCAAGTCTTGTACTCTAGAAGCTTGTCTTCAGATCATCGCATTTCTTTTCCATTATGTGCCCCGCTTCCTTCCTCATCCTCCACGAGCAGTGGTCCCTCCCCCCTGCTACCCGTAGACCCAAGGCCTTCCGACTCTCTCCCGCCCAGCAAGCCTACGTCGACCGGATCGCCTCGCAGGCTCCCCCAAGACCGCCAAGCCGCCAAGCCGAGAGCCTAGCGACCAGCGAAGACGGGGCCATGGTGCTGCGCAACATCGCGGAGGCAGTTTGCAGGAGGGCTTGGGACAAGGCTGAGAGGGAGGAGGGGCAAGAGGGGCGGGAGAGGACGGAGGGGAGGATCGTGGGGTACTGAAGGAGAGGAGGAGAGGAAAGAATGAAAGAAGTAGGGGAGTTTGTTCGTTGTGTAATGAAGTAGAGGGAGGGAGAGCGTAACCCCGTATCAAGTTTTTGGGGTTAATTCTATATAAATTGTTTGACATGTGATCTGTACTGGATTCTGCTTTTTGCCATTGTCTTCTTTTTCGAGCTCAGCTTCCAGGGCTCTGCCTTGTTCAAGCTCCAATGAGCAAATCTGATTGTTATCTGACTACATTTTCTGACGGCTCATAAAAAACTTTATTGCTTGTGATTTTCAATTGTTTCGAAAGATCCCTTACCCAATATGCATCTTCTGCAATAATCGAAAATCTACAGTCTCCTACAATAGGAAAATGACCTGAAACCATCGAGCCAGAAATGCCTGGAGGTGCTTTATTACATTCATAGAATTGAGTCCATGGTCTTTGAGGTCAAGAAAGTGATCAAAGTTTTGATTAACGACAAGGTGAGAATAAATTGCATGAACCGTCGATGGGTTAGTATCTGCAACAAACAGTTTGTAGATATGAAAGACAGAGTCGGTACTTTTCTCATGATCCAATAGATTTGGATTCCTTCAGTCTCTCCTGATCATTCGTTTAGATCCCTGCTCTCTCGCTTAATACCCGTATCCGAAAAAGTTCTAGTTTCCTTTTGACTCCACAACAGGCAATGATACACAATAAAAGTTTGGAATAAGAGTTTTATTAATATTTTCCCTTCCCTACGGTAATTTGTTTCTCTCCTTCAGTACCCCACGATCCTCCCCTCCGTCCTCTCCCGCCCCTCTTGCCCCTCCTCCCTCTCAGCCTTGTCCCGAGCCCTCCACACTGCCTCTGCAATGTTGCGCAGCACCATGGCCCCGTCTTCGCTGGTCGCTAGGCTCTCGGCTTGGCGGCTTGGCGGTCTTGGGGGAGCCTGCGAGGCGATCCGGTCGACGTAGGCTTGCTGGGCGGGGGAGAGTCGGAAGGCCTTGGGTCTACGGGTAGCAGGGGGGAGGGACCACTGCTCGTGGAGGATGAGGAAGGAAGCGGGGCAGGGGGTCATGATGGATGTGAGAAGAAGGAAGGATCACTGGTCTCGGGGATGTGAGCAAGGAGAGAGATGTAGGAGGGAGGTCACAAGATCTAGCTTCAGGGCCGAAAAGAGCAGGCAGGTGGTCGCGGGAGCAGACTGGTTGCAGCAGCGCAGGGGAGTAGGCCGTTTTTATACCAGGATCCAACTTTACTACAGGTGGAAATGTTTATTCAAATAGGATCGGCTTGTAGCAAACTTTTTCCGAATTCACCGAAGGAGACGGAGTGAAACCCTTGCTGACGGCTCGGAGTAGACCTGAACTTGAAAAGGAGTAGTTCGAGGATATGGCGCGCTGTAGTAAAAGACAACCTTACAGTTCTTTACTAGTGCTGTCAGCAACTTGGATTGACCCACGTACTATAAAATATTGCAAATGCGGGTACAACAGAAGAAAATTCCAAAAGACATTTGCCATGGTACGTATTTTATCGTACAAACTGACCTGGGACAGCAATTAATTAATACACGGCAATAAATCTTCAATACTTGACATCTAAAAGGGTCGCATGCAAGGAGGTTTCCGTGAACTCGAGTTAAATCTGGAATGGCAATTTCCGAACCAACCAATTTCAATATGATTGAAGCCTTGCTAGAAAATTTCAATTATCAAGATCATCAAATAGCTTCGGGCCCGGTATGTCGCGGAATGATGATGACTACTACTGGGCCACGGTCACCCGGAAGTCTCCGCCGGGACTCGGAACTTCAACCCCTCGGAGGCTAGGCTTCGGAATGTGCCGGACTCCGAGTCGGGCGTTCAACCGGCGAGTCACGAGTCACTGGCAAGTAACTCAGTGCCTGTCCGAGTGTCACTTTGCAGGCTCAGCGGCCACTACTAGTGACTACTAGTAGGCTAGTAACTGAGTCCCAGTCCGGGCCGCCGGGCCCGGGGGCCGGCCGCGTGACTGCACTTGCCGCGGGGGCCACCGCGGCGCGCCGCGCCGCACAACGCGGCACTGAAGTCCGACGAGGGCCCGGCCGCAGTCCCCGGGCGCCGCCGCAGGCCCGGCGCCGCCGGCCGCGGCCCCGGCGGCGGGCCGGCGCATGCGCCGTGCGCCGGGCATGGCCGGGCGCAACCAAGCCGCAAACCGTGAACTGAAAGTTGAACCGTGACTGACGGTTGGCCACACTGAATCATGGGCCGGGGCCCGGACTCCCGGCGGACTGGGGCCCGGAGTCACTGCCGCAGTGCCGTCCGACCGTCAGTCGGACGGTCCGGCGGCCGCAGGGCCCGGCGACCGCCGTCCGGTTCGCTTACGGACCCCTTTTCTTTTGAGGGCTGGAGGGGGTGTTGAAGTCTACAGGGTTAATAGGGTGGTACAAGATGGTAAGACCGACCGCTAGAGGGGGGTACGAAGATAGAAAGTTGGGGGTAGGGTATGAGACAATTGTTCTAATACGGGGTTCCAAACCACAGAGAAGAGGGGTGGGTGGGGTAGGGGTTCCATTGTACTGAAAGATGTTGTCAGCCGGGGTCCTTTGTGTGGTTATGGCTTTTGAAGGGTAGGGGTGTGCGTTCATAAGGGTAATAGGGGGTGGAAACTATGAACTACCCTACTATTCAGAGGGTATTGGAATGAATATGTGGGGGTGATAGAGCAGGATCAAGTGAAGGATGGGGTACAAAAGAAACCCTGGAGGGTAGTGGTTGTGGTACACCCCATAGGGTCATGTTGACCAGTAGAGGGTGGGGGGTGGGGTGAAGGGTCGGGCGAAGAGCCGCGTGGAAAAGACAAGAAGCCGCCATGCTCGAGATTCTTTACGGGGTAAGAGAGGGGGAGGAGAGGAGAGGAGGAGAGAAGAGCGATGCAAGATGGCAGAGAGGAAAATATACGTGTGCAGGATGATATTTCACTGACAAGAAAGTGTAAGGAGTGATGGAATTGGTGCTTGATACAAAAAGATTGCAGTCATAACTTATTGGAAAGGCTAGCAGCGGGTTAGTGATGGTAGGAGGACACAATGTTTGTGACGAGAGATCAGAGATTTGCCAGATCAATAAGATACAAGAGGATGAATTCTCTTTTCTATTGTCGTATTGGAGACAGAGCAAGTATGCGTTTCAATTTGCTGCGTACGTAAGATCTGTCAGTCGCTGTATAATCACAGATATCGAGAGGTAGTGGGCTGATACAAGATACACTTTTGGATGCAGTATTCATGATCAATTCCTGAATGATCTCTGATTACCGAAGTTGGGACCGTTGCCTCGATGACTAGCAATGAGTTTTTTCTAGTTCTGGTTAGAACCTGTAGATTTCGCACGTTAGTTTTGGACGTTATGATTTTGATTTGGAGGGATTGATAAGCTTCGTCTCTTCTTGTGATTCCAACTTGATTGATTTTGACATCTTTTCTTCTTCTGCCTGTTGCTGTTGATGGAAATGACGACAACAGAAAAAGGTGACAAGTGATTGCTTTTGTTTGCACATGCTCAATTCTCTCTCTGCAGGCTGCCGCCCTTTACACTCAGGCTGGTGACTATCAGAAGACTGCTCGCTTCTACTACAAGAAGGCCGAGGATACCTACTACCAGGTATGACAGCAGAGACATGAAGTTCGTTGTTGCGTGGTCAGCATATCGAACCCGCTCCTCGTTCATGCTATGTCTGTTTGCTGCCTGTTGCTCCTCGTCCCTTCCTTGCTGCATTCTTGCTCGTCCATGCTCTCTAGTTTTCCTCACACATTTTCTCTCAGGCCAACAACTGGGCCTCGTACGACGACTGGCGCCGTGCAAGAGACCAGTGGGACTACTTCTACTCCCGTAAGCCTCCTCTGCTGCCACTGAGCAGGACGGATTTGACATGGATGCAGGCAACCGGTAAGCGGATTAACCATGAGCATGGCGTGTCCATCGTTAAGCAGAGAAGAATTAGTCGCTAAGAAATCTCAAGACAATGGAACTTCACTGGGTGGTGTGCTCGTTTCTCATTCCCCAGCCCTCTGTACACATACCTACATGATAGACCTTCACAACTCACGCATTACAGCCCTCCTCGTCAATTCTTTCCCTTCCTCTGTCGCACTTGTCCGCTTGCTGGGTTCACTTCTTCTTCTTCTTCCCCTTGCTCTTCGGGGTTGGCTTCGAGTTCGGACTGGGAGGCTTCTCGTTGCTGCACAACCCACGTGAAAAGGAATGCTTCACTTGTTCCTCCTCCCTTCCCGTGCTCTTCCTCCCCACTCCCTTCTCCCCCCCGTCTCCTCCCCCCGTACCACACCCTCTTTCCTATCCGTCTCTCTCATCGCCACGCTCTCATCCTCCCTCCCACCGACTCTCGCATGTAACTCCATCCTCCCTCGTCTCTGCTTCTTCCCCTGCTCGATCCTCTACGCTTCCTCAGCATGCTCGTTCGGACCTGTAGAGCTCCAGGAGTTGTACAACCTTCTCCCATTCGTTCTGCACGTGAAAATAAGAATCAAGTTTCATGAGCTCCTCCCCCTCCTCCACCCTCGTTATGCCCCCTCCTGCTTCTCTTTCTCTTGCCACCCTCCCCCCTTTCCTGCACTCCCTCCTCCTCCTCCTCCTCCTCCTCCTCCTCCTCCTGGATCCTCCTCCTCCTGGATCCTCCTCCTCTGCATTTACCTTCTTCCACATCTTTGCATGATATGCAGCATTCGCTCCGATCACAACTCTGAGCATCTTCAGCTTCAGCCCTCCCCTCCTCTCGCTCGCTTCCTCACCCGGACGCGCCGGTCGCGATGCTCTTGTCCTTGGCGTCAACAGGGGCACCAGCGTGAACCAAGATCCTGTAGAGACGAGGATGAGGATGAGGAGGAAGAGGAACCAAGAAGAGGAGGATCGAGGAAAAGGAGGTGGTGGAGGAAGTCGACTACGACAAGGAGCAAGAGCGAGGAGGATCAGGAGGATACATCACTGCGGTGTAGTTCCCCTCCATAGCAGCATAGTGCAAGGCGGTCCGCCCGTAGTCGTTGGTCTGGTTCACGTCTGCTCCTGCTCGCACGAGGGCGTCGATGATCTGATTGCAAGCGATGACATTCCTCCCCAGGTCTCCCGTGTCTGCTCCCTCCCACTCAGTGCCCTCCTCCTCCTCCTCCTCCTCCTCCTCCTCCTCCTCCTCCTCCTCCTCCTCCTCCTCCTCATCATCATCATCAGCATCATGATCCTGCTGCTCATCTCTGCTCATCCTCCTCCTGTTCTCTGCCACTTGCCCCTTCTGCTGCTGCTCCTTCGCCCTGCTCGTACTCTTTCCCTTTCCCTGCTCGTGCCTGTGCTTGTTCTCATGTTCCCCCGAATCTCCTGCAAGCTTTCCCCCTCTTCCTCCGCTATCCTCCTTCTACTCCTCCTGCCTCTTTCCTTTCCCAACTCTCTCCTTCTCCTCTTTCCTTCCGCTGCCCCATCATGCTCCTCCTCCTCCTCTCCCTTCACTCTATCTTCCTCGTCCTTCTGCTCGTCCCCTCGTTCTCCCCCTCCTCCTCCAACGAGGGATTCGTCTCACCAACGCGGACGCTGCAGGCTCGGATCAAGGGAGTCCAGCTCACAGTTTTGCCACTCGTCTCCGTTACCTAAGAAGAAGTAAATACGATGATGAACAGGATGATGAATAGGATGATGATGAGGATGAGGATGATGATGATGATGATGATGATGATGATGATGACGACGACGACGACGACGACGTCGACGATGATGATGGTGATGATGATGATGATGATGACGACGACGACGAGATACCTCCTCCTTAAAGTTTGCACTTGCCCCTCTCTGGAGTAGGTCAATGACCTTCTTAACATTCTGCGGGGTAACGAGCATAAATCAATTGAATGAACAAATGACATCATCGTGGAAAAACGTCAATCAGGGAAGGAAGAGAGGAGGAGAGGAGGAGGAGGAGGAGGAGGAGGAGGAGGAGGAGGACGAGGTGGAGGTGGTGGTGATGGTGGTGGTGGACAAGCAGGAGGAGAATGAGGAAGAGGAGGGAGTTGGGGGGTTGGTGGTGGTGGTGGTGGTGGTTGGAGAGTCCACCTGCTCTTTGATGCTCTGCATGAGCTCGTGATTCAACTCAATCTGATCGTCAGACTTCTTGATTCGATGGTCGAACAACTTGGAAAAAGTCTACAGAAGAGGTGAGGAGGTGAGGTGAGGTGAGGTCAGATGAGAGGAGAGGAGAGGAGAGGAGAGGAGAGGAGAGGAGAGGAGAGGAGAGGAGAGGAGAGGAGAGGAGAGGAGAGGAGAGGAGAGGAGAGGAGAGGAGAGGAGAGGAAGGGGAGAAATGGGGACAAGAGAGAAAGCAAGGAGGAGGAGGGGTGGGGCGGGGGTGAGGGGAAGGACTAGAGGAGGTTCAAGGTTTTCCTGCCGCCCTCACCTGTGCCAGACCAACTCCTCCGGCGCTGATCCCCTGCGAGGTCTGTGTGGCCCTCTAGAATCGACGGATCTCCTCCTTCCAGATCTCTGCCGGGCCATGAAAATCACCTTTTTCCTCCTGCTCCTCTCGCC